TCCAGATACCTATCCTTCCATAACAAACTGCAAAACCATCCGAATCCTTTCGTTTCAAACCTTGCTTCCTCCTCGATCACTGATAACCCTCCGTCTGAAAAGAAGATGACCTAGGGAACTTCTAATATAGAGCTTTAATTTGAGTTCTACCAATTAGTAGTTCCTCTTTATGTTGTACATGTCATATTAACAATGTCACATTTACTTGTTGTATTTTCCATGTAATACAGTTGTAAATTTTATTAAAATAAAAATAAAAAAATCTTTTAATTTAGGATCGAATACATATAATTATGGATTTCTGCACAAGTTTTTTGCGGCGGTACTTTTTAGAATAAATCGGAAATAAGAATATTTAAGACCAACACACGATTGAATTGAATTATATATAGAGATTTTAAAACTAATAAATAATTATAATAGGTATTTAAATTTATAAAATAATTATTTTAACTATACTTTCTTTTTTTTTTATACATGATCCCCATTTTAAAAATCACTGTAGCTATTAAGTACATGTTCATATATATACTTATCTAGAAACTCGTATTCTTATGGTTCTTTCAGTTTCATTGAGGTTTAAAAAGGTAAACTGATTTGGTTTTCGTATTTATTTGTTTTTATATCTAGCTGCCCGAATATGGGAAAATGCTGTTTTGGAAGAATTTTCTGTATACTTTTCTTTTTATGTTTGTCTGCTTTTCCCAAATTGTTCTTTCATTAGGATTTATTAATCCAAATTTTACTTTTAACCTAAATGGACCTCCATATCGTAAACAATTCTAAATAGAGTTTCATATGTGCACATGTTATTGGTTCACCACAAATTGCACACCAACCCTGAACTTATGTTATGAGGTCATGTATTTGTATGCTGATCCATTTTCTAACATTATATATATATATATATATATATATATATATATATATATATATATATATATATATATATATATCAATTTTTAAATTTCCTGTTTAAACTTATATTTGTTAAAATTAATATTATAGCGTTTGAAATGTTACTAACGTAAGATTTTTTCACAAGCTTCATGTTTGTGTAATTTTATTACAGGTTTATTTGTTGTATTTTCTCTGCACAATTTTTGAATTTCAAGAAATGAATAATATATATATATACTAGTTGCCCAGGGGAAATAATTCGCAGAAAATTTTGTTTCTGAAGAAATAGCATAACAATTTGGAAATAAGTAGATCCTATGTATTATGCAAGAAAGGAATTAATATTTTTTCCTTGGTCGATTAAAATATTCCATTTAACATAATAGACCAAAATATTTGTACAAATTGTTTTGCTAGAACCTATATTTAAACAATGACTGGAAAGATAATGATGACAAAATAAAGTCCCGAACATGAGATTTTCTTAATTATTAAAAAAAAAAAAAATTTAAGAGCAAACAAATGCCTTTAAGAAATAATAAAGTTAATATATCAGCCAGGAAAAAAAGTGTAGCAGAATAGTAAATGAAATATCTTTTAAAAGGAAGAAATTATTAAGTAAACCAAAATTAATGGACTGTATCTTTGTTAATAATTGTCCGATTTTTTTTTTTGTGTTGTAGGTAATTTAGTAATCTTTCTAATTATCATGTGTACAATAGAAACAAATACTTTTTGAGTTATTCGCAAATAAAGTTTTTTTTATTGCTTCCAGAAATTTTTTTTCAGAAATTTCGGAGGGACATAACTATTTTTTGCATTTTAAGGAGAAGAATATCTTCAAAATGAGTGGTCAATCATTGAATTTGATGAAGAATTGACGAAGTTATGGCTTACCGACAAAAAACACCTTTTAGAAATAATATGTAGGATATATATATATATATATATATATATATATATATATATACATGTATATAATTTGGGCAAATAAGTTCCATGCAAATAAGAAGAATAAACTGTCAGTACTACTTTATGATTTTGATAAACAATATTTAAAGCTCCAGTATGAAAATAAAAAAGTTGTTGGTTACGGTAAAATGGAGCATTCACGAAGCTTTAAATGGGTCTTAATAATTTGATGAAAAGGGGTCTTCATCCAAGTCCGCACCGCGGACAAGAGCAATAAAATTATGATTTCCCCTTGGGAGGGAAAACGCGTTTCCCCTTCGCAGCGTCGCCCTTAGAGAAGGGGGGGAGGAGGATGGTCACTACGAACTAAAGGCAACCTACATAGGAAGCTAACCTTCCCTAGGAACATACATAAGCAAGACCTTTGAACTTTGTTGTAAAATATTTTAATGCTGTGACGAACCATTAAGCCTCAACGGATGGCATTGCACTTTGCCCCAGTGCACTCCCCAGGTGTCAAACCCGATGCAGCCCACGAAGAACAAAAAAGAAACAAACCGCCAAAAGCGGTGAGAAATATTGACACAAGAGAATCTAATTTGTGGGAAGGAGTGGTGTGGGGTACCTGCGGTCGCCATGACTGACGGCAGACCATCATTCAGTTCATCGCCGCTCTTCGGATCGTAGTAATGGTCCCATCCGTCTTCCGCAGCCCGCTGGAGGTTATGCCATGAATCCGTGGATCACACGCGTTGTTGAGCATAAACAGAGCTTTAAGGCGGCATTAATACAAGGATTTAGTACTGTAAAAAATAGGCCACGTGTTTGTTGGAATATTTATATTTCTAGAGTCATATTATACAAAATGGTACTAGTTCTGGTTTCAAGACCTAGCACACTGTAGACGGGATCCTTTACAGACGTGTCATGACTTTATAAATAATGTTTATAGTAATCCCCACATATATTATTACAGTAAGGCTCGAAATCGGTTGTGTACCAAATATAAGCTCCTGTCATGCTCAAATTCCATGAATGGAGTACCGTAGGATTCAGAATTTCACGGGGGATTAGCGAATCGTATTCTCCACTTTTGTTTTTCTTTCTAAAATAAATAAAGTCGATACAAACATTTTGCTAGGTTTCAATACCTGAACAGTGGTAGGTCTGTAGATCGATACGGGACAAATTGGATCTAGAAGATTTTGATGCGTACAGGAAGACCTGCGTTTTTAAACCCAAATAAGTACTATTTTCGAGATAACGCAAGCCATGGGGTTCGCATCCACACAACCTTACATTAATTGTAGTACTGTCATTGAATACATGTCTCATTTCGTCGACTTGAGGTCTCTATGATCGAGAGAGGAGGAGTTTATATTATTTATCGATGGTATTTTTGATCGGCAAGCCATATCATCGTCAATTCTTCACCAAATCTCAAGATTGAGCCACCAGTTTCGAAGGCTTCCTTCTCCTTCAGGCGGACAAAATAGTCCAATCATCCCGAAAATTCAGGCAAAAAAGTTATAAAGAAAACAAACTTTATTTGCGAATAACTAAAAAATTACACACTTTTCCCTTCGTTATGTCCATGATTATATAAAAGATTACTCAATTTCCTACAAAACGAAAAAAAATCATTAAAATCGGACAATTTTTAGCAAAGATACAGCTTACTGAAATTTGTAAACATGTTGGTTCCAGACAAAAATGAAGATTTAAATTAATTTTTCTTTTCATTTTCGATCATATTTATCGATGAAGTAACATTTGATTTCTTTATCTTTTGATAGGTTGCATTATTTTATTTTGTTATTAATCTGGCATTTGATAACAATATGCTGTGCGAATTTTTCGCACGGGCCTACTAGTAGTTCGATGCCTGTTTAGGCAACTTTTACAATTATGGCAAAATAACTCTCATGAGTTTCAATAAGGTAACATTCTAAATTTTATGGTAACATGGTTTTTAAGCAGTGGACTGTATCTGAAGGGGTTGGTAGGTTAATGATTGTGAAAAAAAATAGCTTATCATCTATATGCCAGCCTACATCTTTTTTACCTTGGAGGGCCCTCCGCCGTCGGTCTTTGCTGGTTCAATGCTGGTCAGGTCCTTCGAGGCTTCAAGTCGCTCCCAAAGCTTAAGTGTTACCTTTTATTTTAGATCCTTTTATCTTTTAGATCTGCCCCCACCACTCGCCGTAACGCGGGAAATTTAACTGAAAACCAATTCTTTTGCCAACCAATGCCAATACCCACCAATCACTGGTTACATTCTTCCATCCAGTAGGCGCTGCACAGTAGTCGGTAAAGGCATAAAAACGGCAAAAATCCTGGAAAACTGTAAGAACAACCGTTACTATTATTATTATCATTTTTTAATAGTAAATTAAATATTTTTTGCATGTAAAATCTTGTAAAAATGAAAATTTATCATATAAGATTATTGACAGAATCAATCATGAATATCTTTTACCTATATTACTATTAAGAGGACATGGTGGTAAGAGAGTAATAATTATGAGCCACAAAATTGTTTAAATTTTCCTTGGCATTTTCTTTCATTTTTTTGTTTCTATACTTTCTCTCCTGTGTTCTATGACGAAAAGGAATACACTATGCTAGGTATAAATTTATTTAGATACAGGCAGGAAGTTTTTTTTACTCGATTTTGGTATAGCTTTTTTGACTGAATTTATCAGATAATTATTTAAATCTCAAATTATCACAGCTGATTTTTGTATTCATCATTTGGAGAGGGCTCAAAGAACATTTTTCTTACAGTAAGCCTTTGGCGGTCGTTGGGAGGCGTAACATTATTTTATCTACGGTCCTTTATGGATGCGAAACGTAGCCGCTTAGATTAAGAGATGAACATTATAAGGTTTTTAAAAATAAAGTATTGCGCAGAATATTCGGACAAAAGAAGGATGAGTCAACAGAAGAATTTAGGCGGTTATACAACTCTGAATTGTGCGAATCATACCCGGTTAATTATATTAAATTGAGAAGAATAAAATGGTCATGTAAAAATTTTGGGCTAAGTAACTAAAGAATTCCTAAAAAGTTAATATGCGCTGTGCCGACTGACCAGCGTTCGGGGATAGACCAAAGCGAAGATGGAAAGTAGTCTGACATAGTGAACTCACATATTACTAAAGTTTAGGCACTAATAACAACACCAATTTCAAAGATATTCAATAAAATATAAGTAAAAAGTCTGTTTTTGCCACATTAATCATGCAACTTGCTATAAATCATTGGATATATTTAAGGCGTTTTTGCTGAGTTCTGAAGCGTAACGGAGGATGCTCGAAGGATCCTGGGGATAGGGAAACTGTTTTCCAAAGGAATATTTGCTGAAGTAATCGGAGGAACTAGCAGTGGTTCGAAGAGTCATGGGAATAAAAAGAAGAAGGAGATGAAGCCCTATTACTGAAAAAATGGAATATACTGAATAGGTTTATATATTTATTATTCTTTTCTTTTTTTTTTTTTTTTGTTTGTAACAATTAAAATCTAAAAACCTTTCATGAAGGGCTTGTCGTTGACGTTCTGTAGATAGGACTTGTACTTGGGCTGCTGGTAGATCCAGTCGTGGTATACAGGATGATGGAAGCAGCTGGCCACACAGGTGTTGGGGTACCTGCAGCCATGGGTATGAGACGGTGACCAATGTACATGTTTGGGGTCCCCAGTGGGACAGTAGTAGTTCACCCTGGTCGGTTCCGGGTGCTGGTATGGACAGCGCTGCCCGCCGAAGACTTCGTCCTGGGTGGCGTCCATGGCCTCAGTGCTGCCTTCCGTCCTCGTCCCCTGTCGGAAAGAGGTTTGGCGACCGCCCTCACCATCACTCCCCTGCTGCCCGTCAGGTCTTTGATATTTGTCTACACTCATAATCTCTTGCGGACAGGTAAGTCTATTGGAATCTGCCATATTCACACTCCCGTGCTGTCGGGCAGAGCTGGTCCTATTCACAATTTCTTGCCGTTTGACAGAACGGTTTAAATCTCCAGCACTCACACGCTCCTGCGACGGCATTCCATTCCTGGGCACAATTCCATCGCCATGTTTGCTTTGACCCTTGTCTGCCCTGTAGCAGCTGTGAATCGGATCCATCAAGGGCTTAACGTGGACGCAGGGTGGACACCACCTCGCGCCCACTGCTTTGTAACTGCTCTCTCCCTCAGTCTTCTCTGCCCTGGCAAGCTGCCCATCCATCATCACATGCTCATGGTACCCGGGTGAACTCCCACAATAGCACTTTGTTTCACCAGGTTGCTTATCATCGGCTTTCTTAATAGCCCTGCAGATTGGTGTTTTATCATCGCAACATTCCACATTCTTGACAAGTTTCTTCAACTCGTCGATAACTAAATGTTTTTTGCACAATTTATCGTTACTGGTTAATGGGAAACACACTTCCATCATTTTAATTGTACACTTTTATATTACGTACTTGTAATTTTGAATTTGACTATATTTTTTTTTAGAAAATTATTAAACATTTTGACAATAGTAAAATATTGAAAGCCATGGTGATTGTTTTTTTTTTATATATAAACACATGTTTAATCATTTAAGTAATAGTCCTTGAATATTATTTCTCATAGTTTTTTTTTTTTTTTTCTATGTACCATTTAGTCCAGTATATTCCTTAATTCTTCATCAAATCCAATGTTTGAGCAATCGTTTTTAAAAGTACATTCTCCTTCACGTGCGAAAAAAAATAGAAAATACAGAAACAAGTAATGAAGAAAAAGGATTTTTTATGGGTGCATAATTAAAAAATTATATAATTTATGTTTGATTTAACCTATAATGATTAGAAGGATTTCCCAATTCGCTACAAAATGTAACAAAAAAAAAGGCTTCGAAATCCTACCATTTTTAGCAAATATATATACAGTCAATTGTATGTATTTTACACATGTTTTAAATTACGTTTTATTTTCATTGACATCTAAATAAAATTAATTAAATGATTTATTTAATTAATTTGTCGCTAAAATTAGATATTTTTAAAATCTTTTGTTATTCCCTTGTAATGCTATTTATCTCCTATTTTCAATATTATTTGATCGGTAAATTGTATTTAGCAGTTTTTATTTATTTATTTTTGTTATTTTAAATTTGCCACTGCGTTGGAACGCATCAAGCAAATGTGTTGGCGTTAATTATATCTTCTTGAATTCCTGATATTTTTTTAACTTTTCAGCAGATCTCTAGGCCACTGCCTTTTTAGTCGTCTTTGAGGCTCACCAGGTAACAGGGAGGAAGATAGAATGAGTGGATTTGGATGATTGAGAGTAGAAGAGTGAAATGTTCTGTACTTGTTGTGTATGGAGGATTTTACTTTTGGTATGTTCATGTCTGTGTGTATGGTGTGATTTGAAAGAAACCAAGGAGCATTGACGATTTTACGGAGTATTTTGGATTGTGTGATTTGAATTTTATTTATGTGTGTGTGTTTTGCGGAATCCCAAAGTTCTACTCCGCATGTCCAAATAGGTCTTATATAGTATAGTGGTGTAGATTAGTCGCTTGTTTAGTAAGTTGAGTGGAGATCTGTAGTCTAAAAGATGTGACAGTTGTTTGTATCGCCTGGTCAGTTCTTGTTTTTTTAATTTAGTGTGAATGTTCCAGGTGAGTTTTTTGTCCAAGTATTGTCCGAGATACCGTATATGTGTTTTTGAGGGAACTGGTTTATTGTCTAATGTCACAGCAGGACACAAGATCTTCCTCAGAGAGAAGCTAACATGAGTTGACTTGCAGTTTTTAAAACAAAAACGGGATCTTTTCTACTTAAAGCACAGCAGTGAATTTTTTGAAGTGTTTTTGCATTTGAATTAAAATATCTCAGAAACTAAAAATCGGAACTGCATACGGTATGCCAGGGAAGTTCAGAATTTTATTTTCTTTGTAATTAGCTCAAAATTGTATCTTAACACCACATTGTGTTAGAGAGGCAAAAAGAGGAAAAGATAATGAGTTTGGTTGAACATATATATGCATTTAAATATCTCAGAAACAAGAAATCGGACCTGCATACTCTCAGCAATAGAAATTTTCAGCGTTTCATCCTCTTTCTAATAAGCCATTGTTAATAATTATATCTTTACGCAACGCCTGTTATAGAGGCAAAAAGAGAAAAAATATTGCCAGAGACGAAATGATTACGAGATTTGTTGAAGATATGGATTAAAATATTTCAAAAACTAAATACCGGACATGCATACTTTAAGCAATGGAGATGTTCTGTAATAAGCTTTTATTCAAAATAGTATCTTAAAGTAACGCCGTGTTGGAGAGGTCAAAGGGGAAAAATATTGCGTCACTGGTGTGCTCAAAGTAGAAAATATACCAAAAACGGATAGTCAGTCTTAATAAATGAATATTAATAATAAATGTATTGGATCTTCGATATTTCATTCGAAAAACAGAATTATAATTTTAATTCTTGTCTTATAAATATTTAAAATATGTGTACTATAGTAGTGCATTGGATGTGTATTATCATAAGCTTTGACATCTTGTGTATTCAAGTTTTGATTATATATGTCCATTAATGAATATGTATTTACATTTTCTTTTTTCCCATTACAACAATAATTATCTTCTTATTTTTTTTTTTTAAGAATCCTACGTTTATACATTTTTCTATTGATTAAGGGAAAATATACTTCCCTTTTTCTTCAGTCCTTTTAATTACATCTATTATATCTTACGTTTCGGAGCAATTTTCTCATCAACAGAGTATTCATATGTTTACTTGTTTTTGTGATGTGGCACCAGTTGTCAAAAATTCAATAATTTTCATATCTAATTAATATTTTTTTGGTGTTACACATTCATTGCTTGTTCATTATTTATTATTATTTCTTGTTGGTTGGGACAAGAAACGAATGTGTAACACCAAAAAAATATTAAATAGATATGAAAATTATTGAATTTTTGACAACTGGTGCCACATCACAAAAGCAAGTGAACATAAGAATACTCTGATGAAGGGAAAATTGTCGCGAAACGTAAGATATAACAGATGTAATTAAAAGGACTGAAGAAAAATGGAAGTATTTTTTTCCTTAACCTTGGAAAAATGTACAATTATAATTTGATAGGGAATATTTTTTTATAATTAGTTTTTATTAAGTTAGCTTCCTATTTATGTTTTAAAATAAAAAGTCAATGCTTTTTCTTTATTCTGCTCATTTATATATATTTTTTAATTTTGCTTTCTCTTTTTATATATATACATTTTTTTTTCCTCCCCATTACAATTCTAATTATTCTTGAGAAGTTGTTATTTTTATTTTCTTTATTATTTACTGATTATTTTTAATTTATTGTATTTGATTTTAGAATTTTTATTAAGTTAGTTTTTATACAATTAGCCTATTGTTTATGTTTTTATGATAAAAAAATCAATGCTTTATCTTTTCGTACTTTTGTTATTTTTTCTTTTCTCCAGATTTTGTTTTATCGTTCTATGCAATTTTACATATATATTTTTCTTTTCTTTTTTTTTCTATTCTACAAATATTATTGAAAAGACTTCATTTCTATTTCTTTTAGTTGTGGGTGTGTGTTTGTGTCCCAGAATAAAATTTCTTTTTCTTCTCTATTCTATCATTTACATGATACCTGAGTTTATGAACGAAACGTTCTTAACCTGTTTTTTCTTTTTCTTCACTTTTTTCTACCTTTTTTTTTTGTTAATAATTTTCTTGTATCTACGTTCGATTATCCCTAATAGAGGACAAAAGGACGCGATGATAGACTAAGGCCCCGACAAGATGGGAATGAATCAGAGTGTACTAAGAGGTAGGAAATAGAAGGAAGATCTAATGATAGAGGAGAAGACATACCTCTTCGGATTGGCCATTATCCGGTAGTATACGTGATAGCGGGGTACCTCCTTACCTCACTACGTACGGGAGCTATACCTCAGCCTCTAATAGTGACAAACCAATTACCGATTACCTCATTTCTTTAGTCCCGCCTTTTTAGCTGCATCTACTATCCCTTCGTCCAATTTTACCGTAGAACAGGTCGTGAAGCTCTTATTCAGTCTTTCCAAAAAGTCTTGATTGGCTTCCCAACAAAAAAGTTGAGGTTTATTAGAACGTTCGTATGAGGTCGTAGCGATATCAGACAATTTCCGATATTCCTTATCGATATAAATATTAGTAGAAGAAAGAAAAGTAAATTTTATTCTGAGACATTCAGTCCCCAAAGAATAATTACAATGAACAAATTGGTAACAGGTATCTAACACGAGAAGATGATCTTAAGTTAAAGAATAATTAATTAAATTACATGGCTATTCAGCCTTGAAATTAAAATGATAAAAAGGCACAAGTTAACATTTGAATAATATATAGATATATGTGATCGTGTTCACGTATAAACAATAGATAATATTTAGGTATCTGCACAGGCGGATCTTCGGAAAGGGGGCTTTCGGCATGATGTCCCCTCCCAAAATGGTAAAATATAACAATGTTTTATGAAAAGAATTATCCCTAAAAATATTATTGTTCGTTTAATAACATTTAATAAGACTTAAAGAATCACTTAAACACCTTTTCATATATGTTGTTAGTTTCTTTCTTTCTTCCGAAGTAATTATCCTAATATATCCATACAAAAAAAAATCTTTCGGTCTGAAGCCCTCCAACAAAAAATAAATCCTGGATCCCTTTGTGGGTATCTGTAAGATAACAGCAAAATGTGAACACGCTGAGATATATCTATCTATAATTCAAATGTTAATTTTTATCTTTCCATCATTTGAATTTCAAGACTCGATAACCATGTAATTTAATTAATTCTTGATCATCTTCTTATGTCAGACAAATGTCACTAAGTTGTTCATTATTATTATTATTCTTAGGGTACTGAATGACTCAGAATAAATTTACTTTTCTTTCTTTCTATATTTCTTCTACTTATATCGATAAGGAATATTGGAGCTGGCCTGATATCGCTTGACAACCTTATATACATCATACAAACATTATAATAAACTTTATCTTTTTTGATGAGGAGCCAATCAAAACTCATATATAAGTTTTGAATCCTTTTCAAGCAGCTCTAAAATTAAACTCTATATTCCTTAGTTTTAAAAGTTTTACTTATGAGAAAACCCAGCTTTATAGTTGAAGAAGACAAAAGAACAAGATAAAATATTTTGTATTTATAAGTTGTTTTTGCAATCGACTGAACTTTATATTATCCTTAAATACACTTTCAGCGGGGTACTTTTGTCAAAGAAGAAACGCCGGGCGAAAGATCCACAGGGTTCATTAAAAGTTCAAACATTCAAAAGAGAAGTCGGTTTAAATATCAGCAGATATGGGCCGGAATAAAGGAAGCTGTAAGAAGCGGCGATGGTATTAATTGGACAAAAATCCTTTTGAAAAGAGATCGAGGAGGGGGGATTTGAGCGATCCGAAGATGCGGTGGTAATGAGATGACCACATCAAAGCCCTCATCGATGACAGCAGCGGTCAGTCCCTAAGCTCCTTAGGGTCCTCAGCCTAATGGGATCATTGATGATCCTGTCTGGGCAACAGGTGACTGCCACCATTAGCGCAGCAGATAAGGTGGGTACCTAGCCCTTCACTCCTCTTTTATCTTATGCGATCATAG